CAACTCTCTATAATCCTTCTGATCACTACTTACGGATCATAAACAAAGATTTTGAACAGGTATTATGCAAACCCTGAGTCTGAATAGTGTATTTAAAAACATTGGGAACTTTAAAGGTATTATACACTACAATATAATAAAATAGAATTAGCTAACAAAATTAAGTACTGAAAAGATAAAATCAATCTCTAATTTCTATCACCAGACTTTAGCAGAGTTGAAGATCGGTCTCATTTTTTCCTTCTCTAAATTTCATCGCTAAATTAATTTGTATATAATGATATTTTACTGTTATATATACACAAAATCGAAGATCCTCTAGATTAGAAGACATAAAACAGTTGAAAAACTGAAACATAATGGATTAATCTACTTCATTTTTAGGACACTGAAGAAGGCTTTGGTAAAGGAGTTATTACTGAAGAAGCAAATCGTATCCTTGTAAATTCTTATAAAGCGTCCGAAATGAAAAGTCAAGTTCAGATTGAAGTGACAAAAATAAGTAAACGCGTAAGTATCATAGTACACTCTTAAATTAGACCTGGACTAGAAAAACACATAATACAACATACTATTCAAAGCCAACAATGAGCACAAGTTCTACTGTAGATCACTTTGGTAGATGGCTCGGTGTGAATCACAACCTGAAAACCATTTGAAACTTCATGGACGACAAACGTCATATTCTGTAAATAGAGATTCTTGTCTTCTTATCCCTGTGACTAAGATAATGACTTGATCAGAATAGAGATTCAAACTCTCCGAAACTTCACTCAACTCTTGAACAACAACAACCCACAGAACCTCTCACAACATCCCAACTCAAAACCCTTGTTCTCAACAACTACACTAATGCCACCTTCACTAACCTCATCCAAAACGTCGTCGCTTCACCCGCCGTCCTTTTCACCGCCTCCCATAACATCTCCACCACACCCTTTCACCCCCACCCAGACCGCTTTTTCAACATCGATGTCTTGGCTCAACAGCTTCGCCAAAACCGCTTCGATGTCGCATCCTGTTGCGTTTCACTCAAATCCTCCGCTTATCCCTTGGTTTTGCCCAATTTGAAACTCAAGGTGGTCATTGAAGCCCTTAGGATGGTTTTGGAAGCTGTGTACGACGGACGGTTCGTCACGTTTTACTACGGTGGACGCGTAGCGGGTAGCGGGAGCGACGCTCTTCCCGACCCGAGCAGATTTAACTGTTTTCAACGCTAAAATTCAGATTTACCCTTAAAATGAATAAATGTTGGAGTACTTCTCAAGTTGGTTTTTACTTCTCTGTTCTTCTTTCTTTTCTCTCCTTTCTTATTTCTTTCTTTTCTCTTCTTTCTTTGGTGCAAGGGGAAGGTGTATGAGTCCATGAAGGACGTACATTTATCTTGCCCTAAAGAGAAGGTCAAGGGCTCAAAGCTGTGACTTGTCGGATGCAAAACAGTTCACTTGCATCTCCTGTGCGACATGAAGCACACATTGCGCTTTGTGTTGTCATGTTTCAACAAGGCATCAGCACTGTATATGTTAACAATTACAGAAAGAAAAAGAAATATACAGAAATCTAAGTAGAACTACTATATCATGATCCTCGGCCAAACAAATATGCATCATATTTACAGGGACTATTCTACTATGAGTCGGCCAAACAAATATGCATCATATTTACAGGGACTATTCTACTATGAGAAAGTCAATTATAAAAACAAGCTTGTAAACGATGTAATTAATAAAGATCAATCATTGAAAAACAGAGGACATATATTTTCTTTAAAAAAATAGAAGAGAATAACATATTAGACATACTTATGTTCTTATAGAAGAATGTGCATTTGACTTGAATGATGATACAATTTCTGAGTATAATCAAATGAATGCAAAGAATGAGTGATATACAATGATCAATAATAATGACCACAAGTCAGGAAAAATAAATAAAACATTAGCACCATTAACGGTGTTTTTCATTAGAACCAGTAACGATGTTAAAGAGCTATAATTTTCAAAGTCAAAAATTATAACAAAGGCAGAGGCAGGGAAAGCAGAAGAGATCCCTGGAAATAATAGTGTGGATAGCTGCTATTTGACTACTTTTTAGACTAATTATATATTTGACTACTTTTGAGACTAATTATATGAATAATCTATAAAACATATATTTAATGTTAAATCAAACAAATAAAAGAGGAATAAAGTTAGTAAATTACTGTTACTTAAAAAAACAGAGGCCAATATGAATAAAGAAGAGAAAAGAAAGAAATAAGAAAGGAGAGAAAAGAAAGAAGAACAGAGAAGTAAAAACCAACTTGAGAAGCACTCCAACATTTATTCATTTTAAGGGTAAATCTGAATTTTAGCGTTGAAAACAGTTAAATCTGCTCGGATCGGGAAGAGCGTCGCTCCCGCTACCCGCTAAACATCAAACAGCGGCCGCTATCTCAAACAAAGACACAAACCACTCCTCCATAGCGGAGGGTCGCCGCTCTGGGCCGCTATCCCGGGATAGCGCCGGTATCGGTCACTATCGATAACTCTGCTGATGATTGACAAAATTGGAATAGTTGCAACTATTACTTGCATAGCACATTCTATAAGAAAGAAATGAATATGATAATTGTTTAGGGTTGACTGGTGAGAAAAAATTAAGACGAAATTCAGTAAAATATGAATAACTCACTTCATTGATACCAATCAAAGTAGAAAAAAAAGAGTTAGCTGCAACAATTGGCAGTCATTCCACATCAACGCAAGAGGTACAGTCGATGTCTTGAAGAGTGATTCTCCCCAAGTACAAATCATGTACATGATCCGTACAGAGAGGGAAGCACTTTTGGTTCAGGCTTTCATGAATTACGCCCATCCCTTGCACCCATTTTTCATTCTCCAATGGGTTCACATTCGAAGTGTTTTGTAGCAATCGGACCCGATAAAATACTGTTGTTGTCTTGTCACAGAAATGGGCAATACAATGTGTTGGAGACTCGTCAGATGCCAGCCTTACTATAGCCAATGATAAAACCCCGTCTACAGGTTTTGGATCCGAAAGATTTCTATCTCCCATCATCTTAACCTCCCTTTCTGTGGGAAAATTCACTTCATCATTTCCGTTCATGTCATAGACTTTCAAATCTTTGCTGAAATGCTTTATAGCTTCACGCTTAGTGGACTCGTGCTTCTCTGCTAATGTCAAGATGCATGAGAACCTCAAATGATAACTTACAATAGTTTTGACCACCTTGAAGTTGTGGCAACAGCAATAGAAGTCAAGCCACCTTCTTGCTATGCCAGCATACCACTTGATAATATCAGCATCCTCAAGAGCGACAAGGAATTCTATAGGTCTTGGACGGCCCATATGATTCGTAAACGCACCCAACCTAACAGCTTTTCTTATGAGTAATACTGGTGCATCGACTTTCGTACAAAACCTAGTCAAATCCTCAACCGTTCCTTTTGAATATTTTTGTTCTTCCTTTTGTGTTTCTCTTCTTTCTTTGTCCTCAATTACTTTCCTGAGTTTTACAGGATTCAAATGTTTATCTACCTGTTCTTGGAAGTTATCATAAGCATCAACAAGCTCAGGAGGTAACTGATTTCTAATGTGTCTCAAGGAAAGGAAATCACCGGCCGTTAAACTCCGATGCCATTCTTGACACTCATCCACACTCCCCAAGAACTCTTGCACTACTTCATCTGCCCAAGATTTAAAAATCTCCCGGACTTCGTTTTCAATACTAAAGTCAAACTTAAACCCGTCACTTAGCTTCATCTTCTTATAAACATGATTAAATATTTTCAACCCTAATATCCTCCTATTCCTCGCTCTAGCATTTTGGAACTCAAATGCTCTAACTTCCTTTTGTCTAAGGTACTTCTTGCGTGCCCGGATCGCTTTCTCTGACATAGGCGGGCGTAAAACCGATGGCGGAACAGCCTGGAATTCCATTCCAAGAAACTGAATCTTCTCTGACACAGCACTATGAATTGCTGTGTTCAATTTATCAACATGCAAACTTAAATCGAGCTCCAAAGTTTTCACAACTTTCACCTTCAAGTCCATAGCCATCAACTTGGAACCCCCTGAAGTAGCAACCAGTATCTCATCCAAATACCTAACAGCGTACACCTTAACTGGCTTGTAAAGGACATCAGATCCCAAACCAGAATCAACCATCTTCGGACTCTGTTGGTTTTCCCGAAGCCGAGTTTCTTGAATCTCTTTATCAAAGCCATCAAAGTAAATATTTATCAAAATTGAAGACAACCCACATTCCTGAGGAAAGCCCTTTCCAAGAGAATTCATACCAAATTCAATGACCAAAACTTTACACTCAAACAACTTCTTAATCAAATGAATGAAACCATAATCTTTCACTTTACGTTGAATGAAAAAACACAAATTATCCATATGAGCAGATTCAAATTTGTGAGGCTTAAACCTAACAGTAAACCACCAAGTAGGATTTTGAACAGTGTTTTTTAAGTACCTTATAGCAGTGTGTCTTCCCATACCAACGCGTCCACCGTAGGAAAACGTGACGAACCGTCCGTCGTACACAGCTTCCAAAACCATCCTAAGGGCTTCAATGACCACCTTGAGTTTCAAATTGGGCAAAACCAAGGGAGAAGCGGAGGATTTGAGTGAAACGCAGCAGGATGCGACATCGAAGCGGTTTTGGCGAAGCTGTTGAGCCAAGACATTGATGTTGAAAAAGCGGTCTGGGTGGGGGTGAAAGGGTGTGGTGGAGATGTTATGGGAGGCGGTGAAAAGGACGGCGGGTGAAGCGAGGACGTTTTGGATGAGGTTAGTGAAGGTGGCATTAGTGTAGTTGTTGAGAACAAGGGTTTTGAGTTGGGATGTTGTGAGAGGTTCTGTGGGTTGTTGTTGTTGTTCAAGAGTTGAGTGAAGTTTCGGAGAGTTTGAATTTGAAGTGATTTTTATGATTCGTCTCAAACGCAGTGATGCCAGCATGTTGGAACAAGCAACCTGTCAAACGCGTAGATTTAATAATAAGAATGAATACCTTGAAACCCCTCGGTAACCTGCAAAACAGATAAATCAAATTTGGACTCGACGCAGTAATTGAACTTCTCGGATCAATCTTAAAATCAATGACACCGAGATCAATTAGTGCAGTAAATGCAGAAGATTAATATGTGATGCATTTGTTGAATATGTTACCTTGTTTAAGGATTTTCTAAAATCTGATGAAAGAAGATTGTTGAAATATTGAGTAGCCATAAAAGCTCCCAATGCACTAATAAGCAGAACTTGGATAACTGGCATAGAAGCCGCTTCCAGAAGCTCTAGAAAACCCATTTTTGCTTTTGCGGAACTATACTATACACAGTTGTTGTGTTTTGTGCTGAATCTGAACTCAAAAACTTAAATTTATTTCTGTAGGACAAGAGAAAGATGAATGATTAGCCACCACTGGTAATATATCCCCACACACGTTCCAATGAACTTGGTGACAATGTGACATTTGTGTCATGTTTATAGACCACATCATATCATATGCATGTTAGAAATGCATTTAACTCATCAATCAAAGATTATCTTATATTCATATAATATAATTATATATAGATTTTCTTTATATTTAGATTTTCTTCACTGTCATAGCCACCTATGAAAAATCATAACCATTAGTTTAAACATACATGGCAAATTTGATTTATATATAAAACGGATATCATTATTCAGTTCTGATCCATTCGACTCGGAATCCAGGTTGTTAACAGTAGTAGAAACCGCTAGAAGTTCATCGATTGATTTAGGATCTAGTTCGCCATTGAAGAACATCGAAGCAAGACTAGTATCAAAAGTTTCCATTTCCTGCATTTTGTTTTGTGACGAATCCATGCAACAAGTAGTGTGTTTGGGTTGATATATGTTAAACAATTCATGTCTGATTTTTCTTTTGTTTGGATGTCATTTGTAACGCCCAGATTCTGATTTCCCATTTTTGTTGAGTCTTTTTGATTTATTAGGTGATTATTATTTTAATTGTAGAATTGATGTGTTATTATGTTATGTGTGCATATTGTGATATTTTATTATTTGGAGAGTTTTAGAGAAATTAAGTTGGAGAGTATTTTAGATATTCCTAATTAATGTTAAGTTGGACATTTTGTGAGAAATGAGTTATGAGATATTTTGGGAGAAAGAATAATAGAGAGAAATAGAATAGAAAGATATATAAGAGAGAAAAAGGAGAGAAAAGAAAAATAGAAAAAAGAGTAGAGAAAGAAAGAGGAAGAAGAGAGAAGAGAAGGAAAAGAGAGGAAAGCTTGGATTCTTCAAGATCAACCCTTAGGGATCGATTAAATCGGGTAAGGGTGTGAAATCTTATTATCTTACCAATGTATATCGTTATGTATGTTTTTGTTGGATTGATTTGGATTGTTGGAGAGTTTTTACTCATTTTCTATTTTAGGTCGAAAATGGTTTAATCGATAGAAATCGATATTTGAATGGTTAGAATCTGGAATAAGTTGTGTAGTTTAGTCGAGGGATGTTGGGTTAAGACAATAGAAACTGGTTTGGTGAAAATCGGGTGATTTGTGAGCTTCTGATGATTTTTGGACAGTAGAGGGTTTTGAGAATCGCAGAGGTTCGCTAGGCGAGTAGCTAGCGAGCGAGCGAGCTGCTAGCGAACGTTCCCAGACTTGGTCAGAACCAAATGATCCAATCTCGCTGGAGGCGAGTGAGATAGCGAGGGTTCGCTAAGCTTTTGCTAAGCGAGCTGAGTAGTGAACACTTCCAGTAGCAAAAGACAGGCTTCGCTAGCATGTTCGCTAGGCGAGCCAGTAGCGAATGTTCGCTATGCCTTCGCTAGGCGAGTGGGCCAGCGAGCATAACAACATGTTTTATTTTTGTTGTTCCCATCCAATGTTGATGCTTTGATTCTTCAACGTGTAGCCTGTGTGTTGTTGTATAATATGTTGTGGGTAGTCGTATGACGTGAATCCTAGATTGTGGAATCGATTGTGAATCGTGGCCTTTTGGCAAATATATGCATTGTTTAAATTGATTAAAAATGCATGATGATTGTGATGGAGTTTGTTGCCGTTGAGCATGATATTGTGAGTGCATATTGATTGTATGCGATAGAATGTGATGAATGATGAATATATTATGGAATATACATTGTGAATGTATAATGATTGTATGAAATTAGATGAGATGAAAATGCATGAAAACATTATGAATATGTATGCATTTCAAGAAGTGTATGGAGTCATTTTGCATGTGAAGCATCATGATATACATTCTTGTGCTGTGTGATTCCAGTGAGAATTTGTTGTGACATCGTGTGCCCATGGGAGGTGTGAGCGATGGTTAAGGATGGTTGTGTGTCATGTGAGGTGTGAGCAACCGGATTGTGTACCCAAGGTGGGGTGTGAGCAATCGGGTTGTGTATCAGGTGGGATGTGAGCAATCCATAAACATTGTGTGCCCGTGTGGGGTGTGAGCAATGGGTGAACATCGTGTACCCAGGTAGGGTGTGAGCGATGGTTCCAATAAGTTCCTGAGTGAACTTGATGATGATTGAGTCAGTACCGCATTGCATTTGCATAGAGTCGAGTTGGTCTTTATGATTTGCATTTATCATCTGTGAAATTGTATGTTGGTGAAGAAACATAAGTGAGTATGTTTATGTGCAATTATGTGAATTGTGGATGTATGCATGATGAATATGCTTGGTGTTGTATATATATATATCTATATATACTTTGTGATGAATTATGGTGAAGAAACATAAGTGAGTATGTTTATGTGCAATTATGTGAATTGCGGATGTATGCATGATTAATATGCTTGGTGTTGTGTGTGTGTGTGTGTATATATATATATATATATATATATATATATATATATATATATATATATATGTGTGTGTGTGTGTGTGTGTGTGTGTGTGTGTGTGTGTGTGTGTGTGTGTGTGTGTGTGTGTGTGTGTGTGTGTGTGTGTGTGTGTATACTTTGTGATGAATTATGATGAAGAAACATGAATGTGCATGTTTATGTGCAATGTTGTGAATTGTGAATATATACGTTGTGATGTATATGAGTGAGATGTGATGAATGTGGTGAGAATGCAGAATATGTGTATTTGAATGCTAAGATATATATATATATATATATATATATATATATATATATATATATATATATATATATATATATATATATATATATATATATATATATATATATATATATATATATATATATATAATTATATGCATTGATTATTATGATAATATTTCTCACTCTTCTGCTGTTTTATGATGCTCTATGAGGCATTGTAGAGTAGGTTGGCTGGAGGTCTTTTTGTGAAGCGTGTCTTCATCTTTTGGTCGGTTGGCTCTGATATGTAGCACCGGGTAGCTAGGATGTATAGAATTCTTTTGTGATACATTTGTATATGTATCTGGTTGTTGAATGTGTATGATAAACATGAATATGTTGTTGAATCAAACTGGAAGATATATATATATATATATATATATATATATATATATATATATATATATATATATATATATATATATATATATATATATATATGTTTGATGTTATGCAATGTTTAGATGTTTCCGCTTTTATTCTAAATATTGAGATGTGGGTGTAAGGACTAAGTTCCTCTATTGAAAAGTTACCCCACTGTTGCATATCTTTGATGAGCAGGTGTTGTATGTTTTAATTTCACGTATAATGTGACATGCGTCTTTTATACCGTGTTTTTAATTATACTCTGATGAAGTTTTTAATACATGCTTAAATGATTATTTGATTATTTTGGGGTATAAAATAGGGGGTGTTACATTATTCACTTAGATATAAATGATGGTTGTGTTAAATATTCATACTTTAATTTATGTTATACATTTTATGTTGTGCTAGGTATGTGAATGAGTTGACAAAGAAGGGAAAAGGTGTCCCGACGAAAGATGATTGGAAGCATATCAACTTAATCATTCCATTCTTAAAGTTGTTTTATGATGCTACAGTACACATATCAGGGTCATCTTATTTGACAAGCAATATTTATATGTTTGAGGTCCTGGGTATTGGAAAGAGCATTGCGGATATGTGTGCGTCTGAAGATGAACATCTACGTTCAGCAGCTCAAAAGATGAAGAAGTATGATAAGTATTGGGGATCTCATGAGAAGCTTAATATGATTTTGTTGATTGCTCTAGTTTTCGACCCTAGGCGCAAGATTAAATTGGTTGATTGGATGGTAAGGCGGTACTACAATAAGGATGATGTCGATGCCTTGAAAGCAAACTTAGATTTCTACTTGAAATCTATTTATGAAGAATATTGTGCTGGATTTATGCCTCCTCAAGGTAATTCAGATGAGCCGCAAGTTTTTGGTAGTGTTAGTCATCCTTGTGGAATTGCTGAGTTCTATCTTTTAGAAGGGTGTGACAATGCAGATAATGAATTAAGTACTTATTGTTGCGGTGAGAATCGTGATACCAAGCTATTGATTAACTTGAATCTTAATTCTTACAATTCACAATCGGAATTTAATTTATCCAAAAGGAAAGGTTTAAAGAAAGAAAGACCTATAAAAATGCAAAGCAAAAGGCAAGGCCTAAAGCTGAGCAAAGAGAGATCTAAAGGTTCGGGGGTTGGTTATGCATAGGGTAGGTATTTCACATCCTAAACATCTGTAGTACTCTACAGGAACCTCTTGTTAGTATTTGTGTTTGCTAAAGTTTTCTTGCTAAAGGGAAAGTGCTAAGGTAAGGATCTAAAGTATATATAAAGTATGTACAAAGTTGTAAAGTATGATCACGAAGAAATCGCATCTTGTGCCTATGTATCCTGACGGGAACGGAATCAGAGCAACCGTAGTTCCCCTAACTAGGGGTGAGGAACTCTTGATTGTGGTCAGGGTTCCAAGGGGATGTAAGAATTCATAGAGAAGTACTTACATGGAGTGCGGCGACTCCTAAATCTACGTTGAGATTGTTGTGATAGAGAATGTCCACGGCGGGACGCTAAACATGAGTACGACGACTTAGATCCTAAGGTTAGGAAGGTGTATGTATGTCCACGGCGGGACGCTAAACATGAGTACGGCGACTCAGATCCTAAGGTTAGGATAAAGGGATAAATTGTCCACGGTGGGACGCTAAAAGTGAGTACGGCGACTTCAAATCTTAAGGTTAGGATAAAAGGATAAATTGTCCACGGCGGGACGCTAAAAGTGAGTACGGAGACTCCAAATCCTAAGGTTAGGATAAAAGGATAAATTGTCCACAACGGGACGCTAAAAGTGAGTACGGCGACTCCAA